ACTGACGATATAGTACAATAGTACTTTAAGGCTGCTGATTGTCATGTTCCCTATGTGAGTGATATTTCATTCTTTAGAGAAATGAACAGAATAAATTTTCATCCTTTTGTAGTAATTGATGACTAAACGCGTAAGTGCTTTTTGCCTAAGTCAGACTTCCCATTTTGCAGTACTAAGAGAAGAGAACCTTCCATGTGAATGCAGCACCAAAATTTCTACATGACTTCTCCTATGAAGAAGCTTCCTTAACAAAAACTAAGGACGAACTACGTTTTGGTTGATCACTGTCTAGTGATCACTACACATCTTCGCCACAAACGACATTATCCAGATGTGAAATTTAACCAAACGTCACATAAGCAACCATCAACTCTCGGCTCACTGAATCAAAACTGACATTAAGTAGTATTACCGAGTCAATTGCAGCTGCAAATCTCCCCTTTCCCTCTTCAACAATTTCTGCAGCAATCACAACAAATAAAATCCGCTTGAATTTACCAAAACACAACATAAATTTAATCCCTAACCTCGCAACAATCCAGATTAACAAAAATTCTCGAAGCCTTACCTTTTCCAAGTTCAACAGTCAAGACAACCTTGTCCAGTTCTTTCAAGTTCTAACATAAACTAGTTTTCAGTAAGGTCTCTTCACACGGATTTTTTACGGTTCTTCTCTCCATCAACTTGTTTTTCCATCCAAGAGGATCCGAATAGCAATCTAAAACTCTTAGCCTGAGCAAATTTCAGAACAATTAAAAAAATCACGCATTTGATTCTTTTCTAATAATAATAGTAAAAGTTACTCACCATAAAAAGGAAGATTCTAACCATTTACTTGATGAAAAAACGTCGAAATCTATATTTTTCAACAGTTCAGCATAGAATGATGGAGGCCGAGATAAACCGACCAGCACAACACCTCTGTATGAATTATCAAACAAATAATTTATCAAATTATTAAATAAATCGAAAGATGATAATACATTTTTATTAGTTTGATAATTATGTAATAAATTTGGTGAATAAGTGAAGTGACCGAGACTGTGATTTACCGGCGAGTTGGAAATGAAATGCGGAAGAATATGGTTGAAGACGAAGGAACCGAAAGGAGTGTAGTTAGTATCCTTTATAGTTAGAGCGGGAGCGTGTTCTCCTTCAAATGCTCCATCACGGAGAGCTCCGCTAATTGTTTCCGCCATTGTTGAACACACCGAGGACTGCGAATTCTGGCAAGGGAAAAAATGGCGGAGAAAAACCCTGGGTTTGAAGAAGCTCGTAATGTTTATTTTGGCCCCTTAGATTTCGATATTATTCACTCTACACCCAATCCTTTTTCCTTAGGAAAATAACCAATTTTGCCCTGAACTATTTGAAATGAGACAAAAGTCATGTTAGTTAAATAGCTCAAAATATCCTCTATTTCATGATTCAATAGTTCAATTATTCGTCAGATATTATTGTTAAAATCTACTTATGAGCTTTATACCTTTTGACTCAATCCATCTCAAACCTATGACAGACAAAAAACATTCAGTTTATGATGATGTATACTTCCTCCGTTTCAATTTATGTAAATTTGTTTGACCGGGCACAAAGTTTAAGAAAAATAAAGACTTTTTGAATTTATAGTCATAAACAAGTCAAAAAGGGGTCCAGAGTATTTGTGTGGTTATAAAAGCTTGTCATTAAGGGTAGAATGAAAGTTTTAAGCTAAATTATTTTCAAATTTAGAAAGGGGTCATTCTTTTTTGAACCGACCAAAAAAGAAAATAGGTTCACCTAAACTGGAACCTAGTGAGAAGAGGCAAAAAAAGATTTTTTTATGTTAATAAAAATAAAATATAATTTGAGAAAATAAGTAACATTCTCAATCTTTTTTCGCCTCTACTCATTGGGACGGTGAGAGTAATACTTATAGGAGGAGCCATATAACATTCCTCAAAAGCAAATTTCACCAATCACCTTTCCTCCCTCAATCATTAGTTTACAAGTAAATACATAATTGAACCTTTGTCAAAACTTAATTGAAATTATTATTTGTGGCTTGAATTATTTTCTTGTATTTTTAGGAAACTCATAGTCCCTATAGGTTTAATTAGGAAAACTCATTGTCCTAATAGATTTGGGAAAGGAAAACCTATAGTCCTTGTCAAATTGGGAGACCTTTCTCATATATGTTTGGGACCTTTTGGTATCTATATATAGGGGTTGTAGTTGGGGATTCTATAGATTGTATTGTGCTTTTCTTCTCATTCATAGTGGAAAACTCTCTCTTCTTTTGCCCCGAGGATTAGGCTTAGCCGAACCTCGTTAAATCCTTGTGTTGATTTTTCTTCTCTATTTGCTTTGTGTGTGATTGTGTGCTAGTTAACCCACGATATTCCGCAACAGAAACAAATAATGAATTGTTAACAAAAGTTTATACGGGATAATGGAGATTAGGAATACACAATGTAGTAGCAACCAAGTTGGCACAACGACCTTCTTAATTAATATTCTTCATTTTCTTGTTAGGAGGTGGTTAGAGGGATATTTTAAGAATAAATTATGAGTCTAGAGGGTGGTTAGGGATAATTTGACAATGAAAAGTGTTAGGTTTTAGTTGATTATCAACTGCTTTACTCTCCCATTCCCTGAATAACTTTCTCTCTGGAAAATGAATAATGTGTTTTTGGACAAAATAATACAATGTACACAAGTTGTAACCATACCAATGAATGAATTAAAACTAAACCAGTATTGTGTACTAACATTATTCATCATGTTTAGTAATATTGCATAATATTAGCATGAGATAAGCTTAAATTGCGACATGATCAGTGTTCTCTAAGGTATTATAATTACCGTTATAATCGTAGTAGTAATATGTGATGTGGTATCACTTTTCGATTTTGGATCTACTAGGTAAATTACTAAAACAATAATTGAGAAAAAAATTTAGTCAAGTAAGGTAATTAGATTAAGAATGTAGAAAGTCAAGAACTCCGGTAAGTTGAAATGGACATGCCACATTTTATTCTGCTAAGACCTCACCAAACAAGCAAAAGGATAACAAATTAATAAACTATAGTTTTTAGAATAGGATGCTCTATCTATTTGGTCAGAATATTGTTGGTCAAATGAAGACCAGATTCACTTCGAATCTTAAAGGTGCACAGTAATAGACATGTCATGTTTGCTTCCTTAATAATGGGGCAGTTTGAATGCATTGTTTAAGAGTACATCAAACTATAAAATAATTATGATAAAGATATCAATGGGTTGTTTGAATGCATTTTTTAAGAGTCCATCAAACTATAAAATAATTATGATAAAGATGGATATGTAATTCAAAAAGGCGAGAAGAGAATATTTAGATTTTTATTGTTTTTTCCTTTAATTTTGTACTAATATCACATATAGATGGATATACTATAAAAATATGTGAAACTACAATGCAGGCGCGGAGTTAGGTGGCAGAAGGAGTTTAACCGAACCCCATTCATTTGAAAATTACATTGTGTATATAAGGTTAATTATTTTTCATTTACATATATTACATGTTTAAGCCCTTTAACCTCTTCACGTATTCACTTTTTTTTTTTCGAATCCCCCCGATAAAATTTCTATTTTCTCCATTGCTACAATCACTTTAAATTCAGTGACATTAAATTATGAATTCGTGAGTGAGAGGTAGCAATGGTTGGTGGTACCGGGTAAGGAAAGATATATGTAAATCAATACATGGATCCAAAACGTTTTCCATCTTGATGTATTAGTACATACTATAATTTTAATGAAAAATGACAATGTCCAGCATGAAGATTCTTAACTTTTGTTAATATGCTATCTTTAAGAAATCCTTTCACGTGTGTCCAGAAAATGTAGATTAATAGCCTTTATTTGGCCTGAAGTGGAGTATTAAGTAGTTGCCACCTAATTATATTTGTACCACAATTCGCAATTATTAATTAGTATTTAAGTAATAAACATACCCTAGATATATAGGAGTAATTTTATACAAATAAGTCGTTGGAAAAGGTGCTGTAATAGCTTAGCCCATCCTTGTACATGTAATACTTAACGCTGATGGATTTCTTAAGAACCAAACAGGTAATGCTGCTTTAGACGGAATCTTTTGGATGATCAAGAAGAACCAATATGCTGCTAAAACAAAGATTTAACCTAAGACTTGCCAGAATTATAAAGCATCAAACAACGTCTCAGAGAGTTAGACATGGAAATAGAATTATCCACAAACTTAGAGGGTGCAAGTAAATGTGCAGAGCTGCAAACTTAAAAGTAGTTTATAAAAATATTAAAGACGAAGAAAATTGGTAACTTATAATACTATACTAACAGAAATGATGTTTTTCTTCTAGTATTAAATTTAGCTCACGTATTAAAGTTGTACGGCTAGTATTCACATCGACCCAAAAGGAGAGATAACCATTTGAAAGAAAATAACAAGGGAAAAAAGAAAAGAAACGAAAGTGATAAAGATAATTGTCAAGGATGTAATTTATACTTCATGTTCACATACACATAATTTTCTAAGTAAGAACATATAGATAATATTAGAATATATACCAAAGAAAATCTAATCCAAATTCCAATTTGTCATGTTGGGTTGAAAATCTAGTCTTATTCTTGATCAAGATTTGTGCAACTTGCAGTACATATTGTTCGAATACAAAATAGGGAGTCAAAGTTAATTCACGTCAATTGTTGTTCTGAATTTTAAAGATTAAACATAAAATCGTCGCTCTAAACTTACTCAAATTACTTGTACCGATATGCCCGACAATGTGTGTTGGGAAACTCAATTTACATTCTATTCGAATTGTTTGAATAGTTTAATTGACGTTGGTTCAATTTTAATATGGTACATGGTATATTAAAGGAGATGTTTACCCAATGAATCTTAAACTTGTGGTTTTAAGAATATGCGATTTCACTTAATACCAATTGGTTAACTTAGAGATAAATGATGGGAATTGACAAGAATGTAAAACAAACCAATGCTTGGACAATGCCCTCGAGCTGATGAACCCTCGAGAGTAGTGAAGCAAGAACAGTTTAAGAGCAGTAAGTAGATTGGCAGAAGAAAAAAATATTATATTGCCTTGATATTCGTGGATGTAAGGTGTTTACAGATAATGGGGACCCCCTTTATATACTAGAGGAATCCTAATTATAGTACAATTCTAATTACGGAAGTAAATCTCATGACTGGTACAAATAATCGCCCTTGAATAGATCTGTTCCGAGATTACCGATTACGGATATCTCGCCTTTCCGTTATTGCACTTCACTCGAAGTCGGTCATACTTAATCTCGATTGCTGCTGGCCTCGGTCTCAATGGACGATCTTTAGACTCGATGCCTCATCTTCGAGCTCGGGTCTGATTCATTACGAGGCTACCCCCGATACAACTCCTTTGTCTTGATCAAATAGTAAAATCGGGTAAGCCCGATTTTGACCGTATACAGATAGTCCCCTCGTTTCTTGGAGTGTAACGAGAAGAAACGAACCGAGTCTTCAATTTAGTACCTTGACCAATTATGACGTCACCCTCGTGACGTAAGCGACGGAGGCAACCTAAGCGCCGCGTCTGCACAGTTCTCAAGATCATTAATTAGTGCCAGTTGACGGTCGGCCACTAGTGTTTTCAAACCGTCATAGTAGAAATTATAAATAGACCATCTTCATAATTTTCAAACTTTACTTTCAAAATTTCCCCTAATCTTCAAAAACTCTTGTACTCCCTTCAAGCTTATCAATTCTGCAGGTTCTTCAAAAGCTATTTGCCAATCTTTTCTTATGATGTAGCGGTTCCATGGATGCCCGGTGCAATCCTGAACCTCGAAAGCTGGGTTCGAAAGCTGGCTTCGACTTCTACATATGCTGAGCGCTCGTGGCGCAATTTAGCGAGGGGCCGATGGGAGGCCAAGAATCATGGTAAACTTATCTTATACGATTTTGATGCTCTTCTCTAAAACGTTTCTTTTTATTTGTACTTGATTTCCTTTTATGAAGGTTTGGGGGATGTTGCCGAAATGAGGCCGCCCCGCCTGGGGAAGAGGAGGTTCCGAAGCCGTCGAAAGAGAAGAAAAGAAAAGGGTCTCGCCTTCCGATATTCCAAAGCCCAAGAAGAGCAAGGCTCGTAAGTCGAAGAATGACACTGCCGCTCTGCCTGCCAACGTAGCCCAAAAGCTACGAGATGAAGAAGAGGAGAAAGAAGATGTGGACTACGAGCTGGTGGCTCGAAAGAGGGTAAGCGTCGAAGCTTCAAAAGCAACTAAGCCGGTGACGGTCGAGGAGGCTCATCTTCGGACCGAGGAGATCTCGGAAGATGGTCCGAGCAAAGTCCCTGAATCATCGGGGGCTGAAGATGTCCAGTCGTGACGAACAACCGGCGAGTGTGCTTGTCCGCCGTGACGAACAATCGGTGGGTTTACCTGAAGGGTCCGATTCCGAGGCCTTCCAAAAGGAGAGAGTGCCCCGAGTCTCCTGCTTGGGGCAATCAATATTGATGATTCGCCGCCCCTCCCCATATTTTTTGAGGGGCAATTTCGGGAGGCCCAGTCTATGGAGACCCTCGATGTGGGAACGACCCACGAAGAGGATGACTTATTATGTGGCTTCTTCATGGGGGTCGATGATATTTCCGACCTGGATGCATCGATCATTTACGATGAGGCTCAGCGACTCCTGAACCAGGTAGATTTCAGCCTCTATTATTAGGTTTATGTTTGCTTTTATTTCCTTTTGTCTGATTTCCTTCCTTTCTCCATAGGCTGTGACGCTCGGGAAGCGTTTTCCAAATCCCGAGCTGAGCTGAAACGGTGTGAGGACGATCTCAAAAGGCTCACGGAGGAGAGAGATGCCCTCAAACTCCTCTATGTGCAGAAAGAAGAGGAGGTCAGGGACCTCCGAGCTGAATTGGCAATAACTCATAAAGGGCAGACCAATCTCATCGAGCAGGTAATGTAAATTTTTGGGAGCTTGACATATCAATTTGATATTGGCGACTAACACTTAGATCTTGCAGGTTCAGCAGAAGGCCGAAAAGATTGAGCAGCTTCGCGAGGAGGCTGAGATGAAAGAGGCAGAGACTTTGGGGTGGAAGCAGAGCATGGACCGCCTCGCCTCGGAGAAAGATACCGCTCGAGCCCAACTATCTTCGACTGAGCGTCAAATCCAAAGTATGAAGGAAGAGAGCTTGGCCCGAGCCAAGAAAATTGAAGAGCTCAAGACTCGATTGGCCGCTGATCTTGCAAAGGCCGCATCTGAAGCGAAAAGAGTAAAGGCCGACGCGGAGGCGATCGTGGCCGTCTACCATGCCGTTGCTAAAGGCGCTAACGCTCGAGCAAAGGAAATTTCCGATGCAGCTCATGTTCGATTATCCTGCGTTGCCGAGCATACTAAGTGCCAGTCTCGGAGAAAGACTCTCGAAGAGATTCATGCTCGCGACTTTGACCTCATGGCCGATATCGAGAATGCGAAAGGGCTAGAGGCCGAAGCCGAAGCTTTGCTCTCTGATGATGATGACTCCGGGAGTGCGACCGGATACGAGAGCGGAGAAGATAAAGATGAAGCTCCGGGGGAAGATTAGGCACTTAGATTTTTTTTTCTTTTTTAGATTTTTTGTGTAAGACTCTGAGTGGTGAAAGATCCTTTTTCTTTTCGATTTGTCTCTGATTTTTGTTTTGTGAAAACTTTGTTTTGCTTTTGCCTTATGATAATTCTGATATACTTTAGGTTTTTCGAGAAATTTGACTCACTTCGTTGCCTTGTGAAGATTTTGTTGAAATCGGATTACTATAGTTTCTATAGTCGAGTGAGTACTTGCTCGAACTCAGAGTAGAAAAAACCCTTAGGTTTTGGTTAAGCGAGGGCGGGTCCTCGAGCTCGACAATGTAATGGCCCTTAGGCTCTTGAATCGGGCTGATATGGCCTCAAAATAGTGGCTTTTTCCTTTTTTTTGGCTTAAAAGTTTAATCATATAAAAATTTGTTATGCCTTAGCATGAGATAAATCTGTACCCTATAGGATTCAGTGTTGTCAAAAAACTTTGTTATGCCTTAGCATATGTTTGTTCAATTTGGTACCTCCTAAGGTTTTCGAGGGTCGATGTTATCAAAACCCTATGTAAATTTGCCGAGGGTAGCCCTTTTTTTAACCGGTTTTATGAAAATATTTGAAGGCCTGTTTGATTACGGAATGCGAACGTCTCCGAACCGTGTTAGTTTGGCCGTAGCCTTTAACTTGATATTTGCCCATTGGGCTTGTCTCTCGATTATACTTCAAACTTGTTCGAAGTATCAGTCCCCGAGTGGGGTGGCCGTGGCCTATAAAATCAAGGATTGCCTTTTTAAGGTCTTAAGATATCGAAGTTTAACGATTCGAGCATGTCGATTTTCAGACGACAGTCCCCGAGTACAGGGTTAATTGCTCGAACTTTAGTTGCGATTGGCTCTTGAGCCGATTTTCCGTAAAATATTGTAAGTACGAAATTGTAAAGTAGAAATTTCACTAAGGCATAGAACATCAGATAAGCAAAAGGTACTTCTTTCAATTGATCATTCATGCGTACATATTTTGTCATTAGGGCTCGGGCGATCTACAAGGGCACGGTTCACTTGACCGTTTGGCCCTTTACAAAATTTTCCTATTGAGACCCTGTTGACACGAAGCATCTTCCCTGAAAACTTAACATTAGAGGGCGATGCCCCCAGTATTCGAGGTTGATTGTATAGAAGCCTCGGATACTGTTGAATTGTCCCCAGGTAGCATAGATAATTGTTGCCTCATTACAAAACCTCGCCGGAAAAACCCATTTGGGACAAAAACTGATCTAAGGGAAAAAGAGTGCAACGCATGCTTTAAAACCTGAGGTCTTTGTGTTGAAGAATTTCCCGATGTCTTTGATCGAACACCTGCAATAAGTTAGTATCAATAATAAATGAAAAAAAGGAGACAGTCATACCTTAGCAATAGTATCGTTTGAGGAGTGATATGTTCAAATTATTTGGCAGTTGTTCGCCGTTCATCGTGCCAAGCTTGTAAGATCCCTTTCCGATGACACCGAGGACCTGATATGGTCTTTCCTAATTTGGGCTGAGTTTCCCCTCATTTGGATCTCGAGTGTTGAGGGTGACTTTCCTCGGGACTAAGTCCCCTATTTTGAAGTGTCGAAGATTGGCTCTTTGATTATAAGTATCTTTTGATTCGCTGTTTCTGGGCGGCTATTCGAACGAGGGCGGCTTCCCGTTTATCATCTAACAATTCGAGGCTTGTGTTCATAGCCTCGTGATTTGATTCTTCCGTTGTGTATCAAAACCTGACGCTTGGTTCCCCGACCTCGACCGGTATCAGAGCTTCGGCGCCATACACTAAGGAGAAACGGTGTTGCCCCCGTACTGGATTTTGTCATTATCTGATATGCCCAAAGCACTTCAGGTAAAAATTTTCTCCATTCCCCCTTAGAATTGTTCAACCTCTTCTTTAGGTTTTTAATGATGGTTTTGTTCGTTGATTCGGCCTATCCGTTCCCACTAGGATAATACGGCGTCGATAGAATCATTTTTATTTTGTGATCTTCGAGGAATTTCGTTATTTTGTTGCCGATAAATTATTTTCCATTGTCGCACACTATCTCGGCGGGTATCCCGAATCGGCATATGATGTGATCCCAGATGAAGTCTATAACTTCTTTCTCTCTGACTTTCTCGATATCCTGTGCTTCAATCCATTTAGAGAAATAGTCAGTCATAAATAAAATGAATTTAGCTTTATCTGGGTCCGATGGCAGAGGACCAACGATGTCCATCCCCCATTTCATGAATGGCCACGGGGATAGGACTGAATGAAGTTGCTCTACGGGTTGGTGGATCATCGGCGCATGCCTTTGGCATTTGTCACATTTTCGAACGAACTCCTTAGTATCTTTTTCCATACTGTCCCAATAATGTCCTGCTCTAATGACTTTTTGAACCAGTGATTCGACACCGGAATGGTTCCCGCAAGTGCCGTCGTGAATTTCTCGTAGGACGTATTCGGTGTCTCCCGAACCCAAGCATATTGCCAACGGCCCATCGAACATCCTTCTGTACAATGTTCTATCTTCGGCAAACGTAAATCGTGCAGCTTCGTTCGCAGAGTCCTCGATTCCTTTGAGTCCGATGGAAGTTTCCCATTCCTCAGATAATCGATATATTTGTTCCTCCAATCCCAAGTTAGGCTTGTGGAGTTTATTTCGGCGTGGCCTTCTTCGACCACCGATTTTGAAAGTTGTACGATAGTCCCCGAGCTAATTTCATCATCTCCGACTGATGACCCTAAGTTTGCAAGGGCATCGGCCTCCCCATTCTGTTCTCGAGGTACATGCTGTAGGGTCCATTCTTTGAACCAGTGTAAGGTTACCTACAATTTATCCAAGTACCTCTGCACTCGATCTTCTCGGACCTCGAAGGTTTTGTTGACCTGGTTAACCACGAGCTGGGAATCACACTTGGCCTCGATGAACTCAGCTTCCAAACTTTTAGCCAGCTCGAGACCTGCAATAATGGCCTCATACTCGGCCTCATTGTTAGTCAAGTTAGTGGTTTTGATAGACTGTCTAATCGTATTGCCTGTGGGTGGCTTCAAAACAATGCATATCCCGGACCCCTTCACATTCGAAGCACCTTCCGTGAAAAGGGTCCACACCCCTGAGGATGTATTCGATTTTAGCAATGGCTCCTTTTCGACCTCGGGCATGAGGGCAGGTGTAAAGTCGTCCACGAAGTCTGCTAAGATTTGAGACTTGATGGCCGTTCGGGGTTGATACTCGATATCATACCCACTGATTTCGACGGCCCATTTGGCAAGTCAGCCCGAGAGCTCGGGCTTGTGCAAAATGTTGTGAAGGGGATAAGTGGTTACAACATAAATTGGGTGACATTGAAAATATGGTTTTAATTTCCTAGAGGCGCTTATTAGAGCAAGCGCTAATTTTTTTAAGTGTGGGTACCGGATCTCTGCTTTACCTTAAGTTCGGGTAACATAGTAAACAGGAAATTGCGTACCTTGTTCTTCTCGAACTAAGACACCACTTACCGCGACCTCCGAGACTGCCAAACATAAGTAGAGTTGCTCGTCCGCTTTCGGAGTATGAAGCAATGGTGGGCTCGAAAGGTACCGCTTTAATTCTCCCAATGCTTGTTGGCATTTCGGGGTCCAAGTAAAATTGTTCTTCTTTTTGAGAAGTGAGAAGAACCTGTGGCTTCGATCAGAAGACCTCGAGATGAATTGGCCTAAAGTAGATATCCGTCCTGTTAGCCTTAGTACGGCCTTAACGCTGTCCACGACTGTGATGTCTTCGATTTCCCTAATTATATCGAGGTTGATCTCGATTCCCCGATTTGATACCATAAAGCCGAAGAACTTGCCTAAACTGACCCCAAACGAGCATTTCTTGGGGTTGAGCTTCATGTTGTATTTTCTCAAAATGTCGAAGGTTTCCTGCAAATGTGTCAAATGGTCCTCTGCGCACAGGGACTTAACTAGCATGTCATCAATATAAACCTCCATTGATTACCTATTTGTTCTTCGAACATTCAGTTTACTAGGCCTTGATAGGTAGCACTAGCATTTTTAGCCCAAACGGCATTACATTATAGCAACAAGTACCGTACTTAGTGATAAATGAGGTCTTTTCCTGATCCTCCGGGTTCATTTGTATTTGTTTGTACCCAGAGTAGGCATCGAGAAAGCTGAGGATCTCGTGGCCGGCCGTGGCATCGATCATGCAATCAATATTCGGCAGTGGAAAAGAGTCCTTAGGCCATGCTTTGTTTAAGTCTTTGTAGTCTACACACATTTTAAGTTATTCCCCTTCTTGGGGACTACAACTATGTTTGCTAACCATTCGGGATATTTTACTTCCCGGATGGATCCTATTTTGAGAAGTTTGGTTACCTCGTCCTTGATGAATGATGCTTTACCTCGGACTATGGCCTTCTCTTTTGCTTTACCGGTCTGAACTTTGGGTCCAAACTCAATCGATGAGTGGTGATCTCAACGGGATCCCTGTCATGTCAAGGTGGGACCAAGCAAAACAATCCATATTTTTATTAAGGAATTTAATAAGTTTTTCCCTGAGCTCGGGAGTTAACCTCGTGCCCAGGTATACCTTTCGATCGGGCATATGCTCGATCAGTATGACTTGCTCCAGATCTTCGACCGTCGACTTTGTGGCGTCGGAATCATCAGGGATTACGAAGGTTCGAGGTATCATACAATCATCATCCTCGATAATTTCATGCTGTTCCAATCTAGTCGAGGCTGGCGACTGTGGTTGCTATTTGATATCCTGCTTTTCCATTGATTTTTGTCCCTTTGTTGATGTTAGTGCCGATACCGCTATTACTTCATCAATTGCAAACATCTTTTTGGCTGTTGGTTGCTCGCCGTACACCGTTTTGACTCCATCCGATGTTGGGAATTTCAAGACTTGATGAAGCGTTGAAGGTACTGCCCTCATATTATGGATCCAAGGTCTTCCGAGTAGCGCATTGTACCTCATATCTCCTTCGATCACGTGGAACTTCGTTTCTTGGATAGTTCCGGCTA